TCAGTTTTCCCAGGGTGCCTGGGCTTGGATCTGATCTTCACTGGAACTTGTTTCGGTATATGAAGCAATGTTAACTGCAGAGAAAACCACATCTGGAGTGTGGTCTGGATGTGTGTATCACACTTTGGAGGTTGGCCAGTCAACTTGTTCGTGTGTGCTGGTGACACTAGAGGCCATTAAATGAATGATGTTTGTACTGCACCAGGGCACTCTTGATCTACCAGTCTCTGATGATTTTCACTTGAAAACAGTAGACATAAGCTGGAAGAATTAATTCATCTGTGGTCTGACCATTGGGGTTGACTCTTTGCATGTTCTTTAGTAGCGTAAAACAAATACAGCGTGGACGGGCCTCAAACCAATCTGTACAGTGTCAGCTTCAGATCAAAAGAAGATCCAAGAATCTTTGGCATGTCACGATGCATATTACGCTAGAACCACCCAACACAGCTGGCCAACTTCACTCTGTGATTACATGATAACGATCTCAGAGCTGATCCAGTACAGCACCCCACAGCAAGATGTAAACACTTACCCGGTGAACAAAGGTTCATTGTACCAATACAAGTCCATGTGTAGAGTGTTAAACAGTATGCTACAAGCAATACACAAGAAAACAACACCATCTGTATCAGCAACCTGAGACCATCACAGGCAACCAAATCAGTTCATCGTGAATGCCACCAGTAAAGGTAATATGTTCCTGCTCGCGCAACAGATGTTGAATATATCACATGTGACATCATGGTCCCTACAGTATGAGTGGGTTGGAAAGGGAGAGTGGGTGGTCTATAGTCTATACAATTTACATGTACATATGTTGAAAATGGAAATCACCTTTCTCTATGCAGAAGTGCCAGCAGCTCAAAGTAATAACTTGCCCATTATGCCAGAATCTGATCAATGTAAATACACTTCTTTTGCCTGTCACTGTTTTTCTATACTCTGTCACTAGTTTCCACTGCTGCAAATTAATTAAGCTGTGAATAATGATAAGCTGCATTGCAGATAAATCCAGTAGAATTAACTGGTTGTGGCAACACAGCATTTATAAAACTGTTGGTCTGGTTTACTTCACCAAAACACTTGTTTCACTTGGCATTTAAAGCTCCAGTGTGTAACACTCAGGGTAATCTATTAGCATTAATGGAATATAATATTCATAGGTATGTTGTCATTATTGTATAATCACATGAAAATAAGAATATTTTTGTTTTTGTTACATTAGAATGAGCTGTTTTTATCTACAGAGGCTGCTGGCTCTAGATTGGGCCTTTCATGAGTTTTGAAAGCTTCTCCTACACACTTGAAAGGCTGAGTTGTATTCAGATGGTTGCAATCTGCAACTTCACTGCTAGATGCAACTAAATCGTACACACTGGTCCTTTAAATACTGACAGAAAGTATTTCCTCCTGTGCTTAATATTGAAGCACATCTTGGTGTACTTTCTGGTGTCACCCTGGCTTATGTGAGAAAAACACACACAAACAGAGAAAATGTCTCTTTTTATCTCGCTCATTTCAGCAGATTCACCAAGTAAGTCTAAAATTAAGTGTTAGAGCAACACTGTTGTCTTTGGGACCAGGATTATATTCGAACATTGAAGCCGACTTGAGTTGCGAGGGGAAACTCAGTCATTAAGTTTTAGAGCAGAGAAGTAATTAGTATGTTAGTAAATAAAGCCTTCAGTGCCTCTGATTTCAATAAACTTCTACCTCAGTGAGTTGATATGGTTTCTGGCGATGACCTCAAAAGTTGTCTTTACAGACTTAATTTCCCTCCTACCGAAGCCAAAAGTACTTGAAAGGTTGAAATGGATTATATTGTGATGCTCTGCCAACTGTGCCTGCAGATGCAGAGCTATTAAAGCAAGGGTCTTTTGTAATCCTTGGTTGTCTCCAAGAGAGAATTTAGGACGCCTGCATGTTGTGGCATGTTAGGAAATGTAATGTGAAAAAGACACAAAGAAGGTCCAAATTCTCAACAACAAATCACCCTCTTAATTTCAATGTTATATACACACAAACATAATCAGTGGCTTGGATTGACCGGGAACTGGTGAAAGAACAACCTTGATGTTATTAGCGCTCCTCTGCTAGCTTCTAACGATACATTTATATATGTGCTGAACTGATCTGTGAGCCCAGATACTGCTACTTCTTTATGTATAAATCTAGTAACACCGCCACTGTCATGAGGTACCACTAATCTTTAAAAAAAAAAAAAAAAAGCTACAGTGAGATCAGTTCTGTTTCTGTCTATAGTTAAACTAATTACTTCAAACTGAGGTGAAACCTGATTTAATACATTTTTCAATGGTGATCAAAGTCACACTTGTTGACTGATACTTTGTCGAGCCATCACAGCAACATAATTGTTATAAAGGACTCACAGTTCATGGTTTAATTAGTAACAGTGAGTTCTGTGTGACCTCTCATCATCCTTCACCAAAGTCCACGTTTAATCTCAGCCTTTTTGGCAAAAACACGATTCAACTTGGCCCAAAGGAGGACTACCAGACATGAGCTAAAATAGACATTTAGACTCACAAATAAATGGAGGAAAACACTACTCTCATCCAGAATACACTTTTGCTTCCCAAACAGACGAGTCAGCTGGGGCTTTTGGTCTTAAATCAAACATGGAAAGAATAGTACCATGCAGGATACAACATTAGGTCAGTGTCCTCCTGATGTTTGGATTGAAACTAATGATTTTCTGTAATTATAAGAGCTGAAAGCACTTCAAATGGTTCCTTGTTATTGACTGTAATAATTTTTTGGACTCCCTCAGTGTGGTTTTGTCATGTATCTGATGAGTTTCCTGAGAAAAACAGATGTTTTACTTGTTGAATCTCATCATTCCAGTATGTATGATATAGGAATATATAAGCAGTTCTAAGTTACCATTGGTTATGAATGGTCTGGTACGACACACTAGCGCAATGGGATCTCAGGTGTGCCTTGAGGAAAGCATAAAATGAAATAGTTTAATAAAATCTAAACAATTCAGTGTTTATAAACAAACCTGTTGCGCTATGTTAATAACCAAGTCAGCCAGCTCATCAAATTGACATGCTGGTGAACATTTGTTTACAGTATATTCAGTTATATGTGCCGGAGCCTATGTGTGCCGGACTACAAGAACTTTTTGAGAGTAATAATTTATTAAGCTGGTGTCTGACATAGTCTAGTCAATTTCTTCTTGTATTTACCACAATTTAGATTCAGTCTAATAATAATTGGCTTGGCATTGTTTATTACACTACCTCAGTGTGCGGCAGAAACAAAGAGAGTGTAATGAGAAAATTAGTTGCATGATAAATGTAAGTTACAACAGAAACATATTTGCTCTCAGCTGCACAGACTGGTGAGAAGATGCATCAAATAGAAATTGTTTCCATTTGAGTGAAAAATGCAAGTTTATCTGTGGTTGAATGACTGATTCATAATTCAAGCGAAAATATGCTTTGGATTCAGTCTGAACAAACCTTCAACAGCTGATACTGTTAGGACGCCTGACCTAACTTCAGCAGGAAATCAGCATGAGGGGAATACGAACACTAATGGTGGACGTCACTACTATGAAGGATACTGTGTGTCTTGGAAAGCAGAACCCATTAGCATGCGTGCAACAGCCCAGTCTGTCAGGTTTGTGTCTGAGAGAGTAATGACTTTGGCTGCAGCTCTTGCCAGTAAAAAAGTACCTCTGCTCAACCTCTTCTACTTGAAATCCCCAAAATGTGTCCCAGAGCTGAACAAAAAGATGGACAATGACAGCCTTGTCAGCGGTGAGGTGTTTTCTATCAAATCGCTAGACATGTTAAGCCAAGATGAATCTGCACACAGGTGTCTTGACAGGATGTGTCCTGTTAGTGATAAAGCTCTGGTGCAAATCTCCTATCGACACAAGATCTGAGAATCAGTTGATCTGTCAGCTGTTTACAAAGTTGATTTAAAGTGTTTTTTTGTAAATAAAGTCTTAAAACATACACTAGAAAATACAGTGAGGCTTTTTTTTTTAGCAGTTGTTTGTTTCACACCATTCTTTTTTGTTGCATTAAAAAGCATTTACCTAAATGTGATCATGCTCTACCAAACAGAAATAAAGGTCTGCTAGCCTGTGTTGGTCTGATGATACAGTTGACCACTGCTGTACAGGTACTGTATTGTCAGAGTTCTGGCTTTGTTAACCCATTAAAGAAATACTGAAGCCATATTCAAGATTTGGTGATCTCTACTTTGAGGTTACTGCTAAAAGCACATAGGTAGGACTGCTCATACTACTATTATTGACGGGGGTCGAGTCTATGAGCTCCTTTTCACTAAAGTACAGTTCTAGCAGTCATTAAAGCCGGAGCTTGGTCCTTACTCTACTTCCTATCTATGTTACAAGACTGTCAGTGACAATTATCCTGATAAATAAGCTGAGAGACTGCACAGAGGAGCGGGCTGATGTTTCTCGGCTTCTTTGCTCTCTGTCATCTCTGTGTGATGCAGACAGTTTTCTCATTTCTCTACTGGATCCTCACTGGCTTCCACACATGGACTGCCAGGCAAAGTGTGCTGCTATTTCCAGCTTATTCATGCAGCCAGTGACTTTGTAATGTCTTGCTCTGATATATATCGTGGGCACATGCTGATAGTTGCAGTGTTCTTATCTCTCTTGCCTTTATAGTTTCTGGCTCTCCTGCTAAGAAGAAACAGCAAAAAAATTACTGCTAGTGCTGAAAACCGAATTTAGGAAATTAGTGCCACAGAGAGCAAGTATTTATCTTGTGTATGTAGTGTGCTCGTCCTCGGTCTCTCTCTTGACTCTTATAGATAAGTACGCTCTCTCAGTATCCATGCAAATGCTTGGCAGACAGTTCAATTCCTTCTGGATGGGGGGCGGGGGGGTTGTCTCTCTCTGTCTCTCCCCCCTCTGTCTCTCTCTCTCCCCCTCTGTGTGTGTATGTCTCTTTCCCTCTCTCTCTCTTTCCTCGCTGGCAGCAGCGTCTGTGCTGTTGGCAGGAGTGACCAGAATAAAAACAGCAACACCAGACATAGAGGAGGAAAAAAGCAAAGTGATCCATTGAACAAGAGTCTTTGCCCTCTCTTAATTACATCGAGTCTCATATCTTTTCCCCTTTTTCACATTTTTCCCCCAGTCTTTAAGACTTTGGGCTTGTGGTAATTAGGTAGAAGAGAACAAAACCAGCTGATCGGGAGAAGGGTGGTGCATTTTGGAGCGAGATGGCTAACAGAAACATTCTGTTGCTCTTCTGTGGACTCTTCCTCTTAGCACTGATTCAGCCCTCTCTTCAAGGAGGTAAGTGTGTGCTACAGGTGAGCTTAACCAAGATCTTTGCTGCATCAACCACAGACTTCAAACAGGTGCATTTTTTAGACCTTAAACTGAACATCTAGTTATTAAAACTATCATATTATATTATATATAATATATGAACCATGTATTATCTACCTGTTGCAGTGTAGCTTAGAGTAGATTTATATGCAAGTGAGTGCTAACTTTGATTGTTTCTTCTGATGTTAATCCCAGACAGTTAAGAAAGTTCTGCAATTGCATTGCTGTGTTTTTGTGGTTAGGTGACTTAAATAGATTAATAATATAAAGCCCCCCATTCCACAGTCATGAATATTAAAGATTGTCTAGTGTTGCAACACTTACTGAATCCCTGAATAGTGGTGTTTCATCACACTGCTGTTAAAGAAAACACTATAATAAATAGAAAAGTTGTTTTGCAACATATTTAGATACAAGTTAGAGGTGAAGTTCAGCACTGTCCAGAGCATAACTTGATATTTTTGTGCATCATAACTTTATAATAATACTGCTTTGTCATATCATTTGTGTGTGTGTGTGTGTGTGTGTGTGTGTGTGTGTGTGTGTGTGTGTGTGTGTGTGTGTGTGTGTGTGTGTGTGTGTGTTTGTGTTTGTGTGAAATCTACATTTAAGTTCTAAACTAAGCAACCATCCATTAGTGTGGTCCTCTATATTAGGAATGTATTTGTAATGTATTTCAGACAGAAATCCTGCACACGCATCTATGCATACATAGTTTATGTTTACATGGCTGCAGACCCTATCCTGTAACATGTCAGGAAGAGAAGGTTCCAGCTGGTCCCCCTTTCCACTTAACAAAACCACATAGTTTAAATTCACCCCCGATGAACTCCCCGTTGGACAGTCAGTCTACACACAAGTGTCACCTTTACAGCTTTGACCGAGCCTTCTCTTGGAGAAGACTGTTCTGCCCAGCTAGATGAAGCAGCAACATGCATGATATGAGGGATTAGCCTCAAGTGCAGTTTAAGAGAGAGAAGTTGTGAGCATGCCTTCCACTCTCATTCAACCTTTCAGTTAGCTTTTTCTCCCCTTTCTGCATTGCTTTGATTTGGATCTTGGTCTGTGTTTTGGCTGAGATTCTCTGAGTTATTCAGCCTCCAACTGGAAAACATGTTTAGCATCTGGGGGTGGGTATGCTGGAGTCAAGTCATATTTTTTTGTTGTATTTATTTGCTTAAAAGTCCCAGTTGTTTATGATCCTTATCTCCCAGTGTCCCTTCAGATGCATTTTGTCTAGATTTTTAAACTCCTAAAAGAAATATTTTGTCCATATAAAGTCTCATTTGTCCTAGCTGTTGTGTTTGTCTCTTCTAATTCGATCATGTTGACGAAGACGACCAAGTAGATCGTATCATCAAAAGATTTATTTGCCCTTCTTCTCTCTGTTTTAAAGCACATTCGTCCTTTCTTTCTTTGCGCCAGCCACATTTCACATTGAGATTTTGAGGTGCATTCAGGCAAAATATATAGCAGGTAAAATAGCCAACACATATCAATGTTGGCTTAGCAGCATAACTTTGATCTCAAGTTTTGAAAGTATCTATATTAAACTTTTCTGCGGCGCTCAAACTAGTTCCATCTGTGTCTGTGCACTTGGAAAAACACACTCAGCATGATCCAAGCGTCAATTATCTGTGAGTAACATGAACCTCATTAACACCCAATCCACTCATATAATGCCTCTGCACAGAAAACACATCTTACGCTTGCGAAATTCACCCCTTGAATTGTGATGGAGTGCAAGGCCTGCCTGAATATTTTCCATCGACAAGTGTAAATGAGTTACGGTCCTGGAGGAAACATCTGGGAAGGAGTTTGTTAATAAATATGCCCCCTGTCATGTTACCCTATGACCTTGTGCAGGTAGCGTGGTATGTTTGTTGGTTCTCCCTCGTGCAATGGAAGAGGCAGACTTATTTCATATTCTACAAACAAACAACATCTGTCACATGGATACAGGGAGTTGGATGTTATTCTTATCCAAATAAATTTGCTTTGACGCAGCTTGGGCTCAGTGACCTTATTTCATTGCTACATTTGATAAGTGAATCAAACGCAGGCCTAGGTGGTTGATTAAATTATCTCACTACATTCCTCAATTTAGAAATGTGAGTGGACATCTCATGAGGTGCAAATGACACCAAATGACGCTTTTTATTGGAAATACCGAGTCTATCAGTTCCCCCCTTGTATGTCTGTTTCTTAGCTTGACATATGTTGTATTTCACTGGTCGACCTTTGCCAAAGTGATTAATTTGGCTTTTTGACGGACACAATTAATAGCACAATTCTGACGAGCAGAGTCCAGAGGAAGACGAAGAGGGAAAAACAGCTGCTCTGTTCTTTCACAGTCTCCAAAGAACTGAAGAGGTCGTGTGGTGTTTTTTTAGTACTGCTGGAAGCCAGTTTGCCTGATTTGGCATTGCCCAGATTCAGCCCTGAGACTTCAGAGGAATTTAATACATTAATCAGTGACACCCGCCTGGCTGTAGGTGAAGTTAAACAAAATAAATGCGGAGTGGATGGCATGCCACTAAGTGATGAATTGTAGCACTATCCCAGCATTGCTGGTAGATACCCAAACTGATTGTCTTGATTCCCCCAAGCAAGTGGTGCTTCAGGCTTTATTGGTAGCGTGTGTTATGGACACCTCTCTGGCTCTAATCCCCCTTCTGGCAAGGTCGAGTGCCAACCACAGCATAAGGTATTAATGTGACACATGGGCATCCCAGTGCGCAACAACTTCACTTCACACTGCAATCAAAGAAATAGACCATTCAAAGTCCCTTCTGAGTACGATACAGAGGTTTTTCTTCAGTGAGGTTTTAGTTCAATTTCTTCATCTTCTTTAATGCTGGAGCCACAAAGAAATTTTAATTTGTTGATGTTGAGTGGTTTGGTGTAATTTACAGTGAGGTGATCTCATTCAGTACTCATTTGGAAAGGGGCCTTTTGGTTACAAGCACTGACTGACCCGGGTTTGCTGTTGTGAAAGAACCTCCGTGCGTTCACGTTAAGGGCCGATTAGACAGAGATGCAGATCGCTGCAGGCACGGCTTCTTCAAAAATGCCTTGGCAAAGTGCGCCGGGCAAAACAGTTGATGCACCTGTGGAGCAGGGCTGTGTGCACAACATCAAATGATGATTAATGGAAAATAATGGATTCAAGCAGTCGTTGAGCTCTTGCAGTTTTTCTCTCTCAAAGACAAGTAACCTACATGAAATCACTAGACATGAGATATGAATTCCCCGCCTTTCCCTGTCACATCTACCCGCATCAAAACAGGAAAGATGAGGTAAAAAGCCAGTCTCTCGTTTAATTTAATTGGCTGTCTGGGCCAAGTGTGACGCTGACGACTTGCTGCACTAGAGAAAACAATGCTGGCGACATATTTGTAGCTATGCATCTCAGTGTTGCCTGCGTACTCTGGCACAGGCTATGAAAGTGTTACGAAATTGGACAGTTCCATCCATTGTTTCTGTTTTACACCAAAGCATGTTGCCTGGAAAGTCACTCTCTCCATTAAAGCTCCTTGCCAGAAGCAATTAGATTTTGGCACAGGTTTTCCTATCACCATTTTTACTGTAACTACTGTTGAGAGGGTTGTAGGGATCAGACCAGAGGTTTGGGATGGATGGTTTTAATACACATAATTCAAAAGGACTGCGCTGCAAATGTCTAGGGTACACTTCCTTAACACTATACGCATCATTTTTTAGTAACAGTAGTCTTACCTTTGTAAACCTGATGGATTGTTTAATGTCATCAAATTCCTTCCTCGCTTATTTGTGATCCAGCATGTTCATGACTCAGAGGCCTTTACGTACGTATATACAGCATGTGCACAGTTACTCTGAGGATCTTCACATACCAGTTAATAATTTGTTCGGCTCTTGCTCTTACTCTCTTTGGTTGTGGATAAATGTCAGTCCTAGCATCTCCCAGAGAGATGTTTGGTCTGCAATCAACCGTTGCCAAGTCTTTAACAAAGAAGCACATTAACTCAGATGATTCATTCCAGCCACTCTGCAAGCAGCCCTCACCAGACTGTGAGTTGCTGGGAGCGGTCTCACTGGGCCAGCAATCTGAAATGGCTCCTGTCAGGAATGTTTTCATCTTGACCCACCACTGCCTACTGATGTCCAAGCTCTTCTAGGTTTACAAACAACATGACAGCATTAGCACAACATTAGTATAAAAAATGTTGTTTTAATAAAAATCCATAACTGATGATAAACTGATGAGAAAGGATGGTAATAAAATTGAAAATGAAATTCTGCTTAAACACATTACGTCAATATAATCAAAATCCTCTGGGATGAAAACATTGTACGCTGTGTTGTATTAGTTTCAGTGCACTTTGTTGGAGAGAGCGGGCGTAAACGTGGCACCTTTAGGCCTTTGGCATCAATAAGTTGGTCTAAACACAAAGCGCATTTCTGTCTTGTTGGGTTTGAGCATAACACAACTACTGGAGAATAGGTCCAGTTCCTACTTACACTAAATAAAATGTCTGCACAGTGGACTGATCGTAAAGATTTTGTTCTCTTTCACATAATTTATAGATTTTATACTCTCCTCATTCAGCTTTGTAAACTGCTTTTGTCGTTGGAAATGTCAATATCACGTTCATAAAGCTGGCTGATGATTCAGTCGTGTTCTTTCTTACAATTCAGAGGCTGAGTTACAATATTTCAGGGAGTTAATTTAAAAACATAATTTTTATTGTTTTGTTTTTTTGTGTTGCATTGGTTAATTCTATATATAATGTTGAAGGAAAAATTACCTTTTATTTGGTCTGACATTTGATAGATGTTTTATATAATTGCATGCAATACATTGTGTGAATGTAGCCTCTTTATGGTCCTTTTGACATTTCTACTGTATGATACAACCACATAAATTATTTTCTGGAATGGAGTCGTTCTTTGAACTGTTTGTTCCAGTAGCCCTTTGTGAT